TTTATTTAGAACCAGCTGTGATTTCTTCTGTTTCATAAGCTTTTTCACACTTCATGAACAGGGCAGAGCCTAACTCAATACCTCGCTTGTTTGCTGGTCTTTTTGTCATTGGCTGTCACACTTGAGCAAAGTTATCCTGTTTGTCATGGTAACAGACTAATGACACACTCTGCCCTTTTGTAGGTACTCTGAGATCAGCAGATACACAGAATTATGTAAAAACAAAAACTAAGATTACACTTGAGAGCAAGAGCTGTCCCTAGGTAAAGCACATGTCTGAAGGGTCAAGATAAAGGTGACTTGGTCAAATTATTCTAAAATGTCAGCTACCTTGCAGTCATGTGTGGTATAGTGTGGTGTTTACGTGCAAGAGTTGCAAAAGTAGCAGTTCTGGATGTTTCCTCTACAAATAGTCTGCTTTGGAAAATCCTAACCTGTGAATTTGCAGTTGCAAGAGGTCTTGAGTCTGAAGAGATCACTAAACAGGACCTTGGTTACTGTCACTTCCTTGCTGTCTCTGAAGTGAACCATGCAGCAAAAGTGTGTGGTTGTTGATTGGTGAGTTGGCAGGTTTTAGAAGGGGACCTGCACTATTGTTTTTGATGTTTTCTTTCCTCGGAAACCATTTTAAACAAAGGGAAATGGTAAATTCACAATTTGTTAAAACACTTCTTCTGATTGGGAATAACCTTGTTTCTTGTGCCAAGTGTGTAGATGTGTATTTGCTGATGTCTGTGAGAGTGACTATCAACCTAGGATAATGTAGGGCAGCACAGGAGTCCTGCAAGAAAAAAAGTACCCATTCAAAAGCACAGAAGAAATACATGAATGAAAGCAGCATTTGCAGCTTTGTGCATAAGGGACAGGTAAAGAACTGCATGCTGTAAACACCACAAGCATTGATTTCTAATGTCTAAAAGCAAATTTCATATATTCACAAAGAGATTAATTCCTTCAGTTACACACGAGGAAGGAGAAGAGTCTGTTCTCCTCTGAGTACTGATACAGTTTAGGCTCCAGCAACCATATACAACAGATGTCACGTTCACATGGCATGGTGTGAAAGTCACAGAAGGGGGTATGATTAACTTCGATGCAGAAGCACTGCCCAAGCTTGTGCACCGTGTAATCCCCAGCAGGGCAGCAGTGTCAAGTTTATTCAGTTGATGGCAAAGATGAACGCAGAGAAAGGTGAAATTATTTACTCGGAATTAAAAGCCATGTTGGCACCAGAGCTGGCGATATGGCTCAGAGCATTTAAGAAGATAAAGCTTAAACAGCCTGGCAGAGGGCTCGGGTGTTGCAATTCCTGGCTTTCTCTCTCCACTGGACCACACTACTCAACTTCTGTGTTCCCTATTACTTCTTTATCTCTTATCTGCCTATTGTTTCTTAGGCTTAAAATAGTTAACTGTCACTGTATTGCTTTAGTTTTAATCCAATATGTTGATAGGTAGTGTTTTTCAGGGATCGTATCTTCCCTTGGAGAGAGCCTGTCTTGCCAGACACTCTTCAGAGGGCTCAGCCTCTTCTGCCTACCTTTTGATCTCATTACATCTCAGCATTTTGGGGACAGAGAAGTCTGCGATACTGTGCATCTTACTAAATGCATTTCTCCTTTGGGAAACAGTAGTGTTTGCCTGAGTCAAAGTTTTCTTATTATGTCTGACTTTTAACTCCTCTAGACTCAGTAGCGGCTGCAAGGTGTCTCATTTCCTCTGTAAAGGTAAAGGCAACATTTCTCTCCAGTGATCAGAGGGTTTTCCCCACCCTGCATAGATTGTTTTGCTCTTTCTCCTTTGCAAGCTCAGCTTGTTTGCCTCTGAAGTGGGCACAAGGAAGACTGTCAGGAAATAAGTCAAAACTAATAAGGCACAAAAGAACAACAGAAATCTGCTCTTGTAATTTAGCTTTGACTCCTTTTGTCTTAAAAGAAGGAAAACCAAATGTGTTTGGTTTCACTATCACTGTCATCATTTTGGTTTTTAGGCTGTTGTGAGAGCAAACACTCAAGTATCTCAAATGTCAGGGTAATAAAGATATCATTCAGAGCCACTCCTCCCCTTTTTGAGGCCTGTGTCTGGCAGTGTGGCCAGGCTTAATGATCCAAACTGAAAGATCTTCTCATTCATATGCATTGCTTTTCCCCCCACAGCAGTGTGTGTGCATGCACACATGCCCACTCAACATGCCACAGGAGCTGGTGTAAGAACAGAAGCATGGGGGAAGATTCATGAGCACTGTGAAATGACCATGGAAAGGGACTGCCTGGTTTTTGAGTCAGTTTGGATAGGCGGGAGGAATTGGATTGGATCCGCAGTGTATTGGTTTTGTTGAGGAAAATGTGACTTCCAGCCCAGATACCAGGTTTCTCTGTATCTAAGTTGGGCTATTGTTTCTGAATTAGACTATTAAAGAGGTAAGTGAAGGTTGATTCCTTGATAGATTTATTAGACAAGTAATAAATAATACCTTATCCACTTTACAGCATGACTGATCCAATTTCCACATACTTCTGGTTTGATAAATGCATCTATGTTAACAGTAACAGTAACTTCTAGAGAAGGGAGCACAGAGCCTCCTGTTGTGCTGGAATCCCTCTTTCGTCTGTGAACCACAGCATGTGTTTATTTTTGCTGTCTGTATACAATTTTTTTTGCTCACTGGAAAAGCTGACAATGTTTCAACCTCTGCACGTTTTTTTCTTGATTTTTGTTAAATTCTTTACCTTCCTCCTCCTTTTCTGGACTAGCAGAAATCATCTAAAATAAACAGGAAAGGTGGTATATTTCCTGGGGGTTTTGCCATTGCTTTTTCTGGAGTTTACCCATGGAATTATTCCTGTCAGCCTTTGGAAGCTGGCTATTTTTTAACATTCTTTGTTTTTTTTGTGTTACTGTGTTTTGCAAAGCATAAGCCAGGTGCCTGCTGCACTAGATTCTCTTAACATTTAAATTTAACATGAATATGGAATAGATAACGGCAGTCTGTTCCAAACAGAAATCAAATGCCATCAGTTAAGAGCAGCAGTTTATTGCCACGAGTTCAGCCTTCATTGCAAGCAAGATAGAAGCAAGAAGAAGTTTGTGTTCTTCAGAATGGGTAGACCCATATACACGAAAACCAGCCTCTTGTACTGCACTGTTTCAGCACTGCTGCTGTTAACACAAGTAAAGTAAAACACCTAAATACACAGGTTGTGATCTCTAATTCATTCTCCTCTTGAGAAGTACCTTACTTGTTGGGAATGAAGTCCTTCTCCATATGAAGAAGGGTGACAGAATCTCAGACTTAGTAAGGAGTGGAAGAGAACTGATTAAAGAATGCTCTCTATAATCAAACATTGTGAACATCTTTTGCAAAGAGCCTAGTCCCTGTTTGAGTAACTGACTCGGAAATGGTGGAACCTGCTGCCTGTATAACTTTAAAATAACGAAGCCAAAGCCTGGCCATTTCACTGAGATGTAAAAAGAGCACCAGGGACTGACTTAAACACCAAATCAGGATTTGTTGAGTGTTTAACTGTTGGAAACCTTGATGCACATATTTTGCTTTTAACATGAAAAGCAAGGTAGGTAAATTGTTTAATAGTCTGCCGTTGATCAAAGTTATGAAATGGTATAGCAATCAATCGTAACGAAACTTGGAATTGGGGAGCTAGTGTTTATTTTTACATAAAAAATATATCCTTTTGGCCTACAGAAGCTTTACTCCTGTAAAGTTCTATCATCCAGTTATTCCAAGAGTGAGAAATGGCTGAAGCCAAGGTAAAGAATGTAACAGCATAGCCCACAAGAGGCCAGTATGTATTTAAATTTTGAACTACTCAAAGCCATGTTTGTCCATTGGAAAGGGACCCAGGCATCTTCTTAGGAATGTAACAATCTACAGGATTTCATGTGAACTGAGGTACACAGAAGGGTCAGTAATGGTTTTGAAAGCTCCTGTCTTAGTAGGAATGATGAGGACCTTAGCACCTGGAAAAAAAAGGTAAAATACACAAAATTGTGAAGAATGTCCTAATACTTTGTATTCTGTGGCTGTGGGCAAGCAGGGTGGAAATTGGCTGTGTGGGATCAATAGCTTTAGTCTCGTATCTTCCTCTCCCCTTGTCTCCTCTCCTCACCTCTCCTCAGGGAACCTTGTGAAGTACCACTCTGAAGTATAACTTCATGAGACACTTAAAACCAGGAGTAAAAGAGCTGCAAAAAGTATGATGCAGAAAAGACTCAGTTACCTACAGAAGAATTAGACAAACTTGTCCAACTCTGTAGCTGAAACTAAAATTACCATTCACTTACACCAAGACTTTGTTCTATGTACTTCAGTGGTACTGACAAGTCTTTTCTTGAGATCTCGTTTGCCATGTAAATGTGCGCTGATTCTGTTAATAGCAGCCATAGTAAATACAGTGTGATAGCCACGCTATATATGATGGGTGAAGTTATTCTCTCTGCAGAGTACCCGTGGGTTGATTTGTTGTGTATCTGTTCCTAAGCACAGAGGCTTGTTTGCATTATCATTTTGTTTTCTTTCCTGCCCACGGTCGAGGTATGGGCAAGTTGAGTCATGGTGATGGGCAGTAACAGACAATGTTACATCCTTCAAGTGGAGTCTTTTGGGCTCTGAAAGTTGGTTCCAGTCTCATCAAAAAACAGAAAATCTTATAATTTGATAAGGCTTCCAAAAGCTTATTCCTTACTATTAAGGGAAATTTTCCAACAGTGCTTGATCTCCAGATTGAAGGATAAGAAAAGGTAATAGCTCAGCAGATTAGAAAAAAATCTCTTTCTCACCAACCATTTTTGCTCCTTAGTTGGCACAAGCTACTGGATCTTAACCTGCGCCGTTTTCACGTTCAGAAACTTGATGCTCCAGGAATGGATTTGCCACATAATGATTTAGGGCCAAATATTCTCCTTTCCAGGGTGTTTGGGATTATAGACTAAGATGTCTCATCTCTTCCTAACCAACTCAAATAATTGCTGTCACCAACAGCAATGACCATTGGTAGGCAAGAATGAAAAGGTGAGAACAGGACAGTGAGAGAGGACAGTTAGGAGTATGGGGAACCTTTGGACAGTCCTGACAAAAGCAAGAGCACAC